GGTTTTATACTGTCTTGAAGATATTAATTGATTGTGTCCGCGGGGGGATCATCTCCCATCAAGTTTCCAAACTCTTAAAAGTTTATTCATATTGCTTGACAAACTCTTCTAAATTTATTCATATTCCTTTATATTGCTAAATTTCAGCTTCTAACGCCTGCAAAAATAAGAATACATCATTTTTTGGATCAATTCAATTTGATCGCGGGAAACAATCGAGAAAAGAAAGTTGATTAAAACCCGCAGTGTTCGGCGCGAGGATGTACCGGAAGTTGTCCGCCTTATCGTCGTGTGGTGATAACGAGCTGCCTGATAACGACTGATCCCTACCTAGGCCATCAATGAAGAGATAGCTGCCCCTCGATCGAGCCTCACTCGGCTAGCAGGAAAATTCGGAATGCAAATGAGGCGACGCATCGCTTTTTAAATGTAAAACTGAAAGTAGCTCAATCGATGGTAATTATGGTTAACTTCGATGAAGAATTAAATTCAGAAGCAATAACTTAATTAATCAAAAATACTCATTTAACAGCCCCGAATGTCCTGAAAGGCGCACAAGCGAGTGCTGCAGTTGACCGAGTCAGTCTTGAGCATGAGCGATGTGAACGCGTTCTGTCCCTAAATTATCTATTCTTCTTACCAAAAAATCACTAGAACATAGAACTATTAAAAAGAAGTCGCTTAAATTTCTTACCCTAAATTAAGGACCGTTCAGCTAGCTAATCAAGGGACATCTGGGGTTGTATCAAGGGACACTTTTCCTATACAACCTGAGCAACATATTTTGGCCTTGCATTGCATGCTGATCCCCAGCCTGCTTCTTTAATTTTTAATGCTGAATACACGAAAGTTATTTTCCAAATAATTGGAGGAAATAATAATTGTAGAGAAAAATATTATTCAAGGCACGACTATTTCCTCACAGAAAGTATGGATTTAGAATGTGCCAACAAAAGAGTTATCACTTTTTAATCGGAACCATTATTTAATTTTTTTTAATTCGGTTGATGTTTTCTTCCTAACAATTAACAAATGTGCCGAAGTAGTAAGTCTCCGGCATTACACGATCATGGAGTAAGTCGACATTAAATTTGAACAGTTAATGAGTTGAGTGTCGAGTTAATAAGCAAACCATTGTGCACTCTAATGTGCAATTCCCGGCGTGAGAACTGCTGAGTGGATAAGCACATGCCAGGAGGACATGTGACGTGCAGCAATGAGGAAAACAATTTGAAAGATGCACGCAAATGAATAAATGTTGCAATGACTGAAACGTGCTCCTCCAAAATGTATTTTCAATTGCAACACAAAAGCATAATAAAAGAGACAAAAAGGCACTTATTCATAATTGATCAAGTCGAACATCGCAATTACAAAAATAGCGGAAAACATTACACTTGTACCGCGGGTGAGGATGCATTTTAAAATATAGATAAATGATCCCTTCCCACACGAACGTATAGTCTCAAACACTTCCAGACTACACATTATCAGCCGCAAGCCACCAGACAGATCACATGCATTGAAGCAAACCAATCAGTCCACCGGAGAATAGCATGCAATAGTTTGGCTCATAATCGCCTGCCTATGAGCGAAAAAATTCTGCAGTTTCCTGCCTTGCAGTAAACTTGAGGACCGCCACCCATGGTTGAACTAGTATACCATTCCACCATAGGCAAAGTTCCAACACATTCATTGGTAACCTCAACCCTCACTGGTAACTGGCCGCAGGATTAATACACTGCTGATTGGTGACCTTAAGGAAATATGCTAGGCATTCTATTCAGGGCTGATTGGTGCGAAAAATTAGTGGTGCACGGCTGCGCTCCCTACCGAATGATATACTCGCTCTGTTCCTTTATTGTTTCTAAGCAACTCGTTAATCAAATAACGCTTTCAACATTTATTAGTCCATAGGCCCGTCGCCAATCCTTAAAATTTCCAAGCTTTCATATTTTATTGAGGTCTCAAGCATGTAACAGCTGCTACAATTCAGTTCTGTGAACCGCACGGCCTCCTGGCCTATTCCGACCAAAGACTGAACAATGGAGATCGGATTGAACGCACACCTCTCTGTTCCACAAAAAACCACATTGTTTAAGCATGTTAAAAGTCAAAATAGACTGGTAAATGTAATGAAAACACGTGGTTTTGATTTTTCTACATTTTTAAGGGTATTTAAAGCCTAACGACTCTGATCGTAACTTAACACATAAAAAAATAGTTTGCCATCTATACGTATTCTCTATGTGATTATATAGAAAACGCAGTTTGTTGAGGAAAACTCGAGTTAAATGATGACGTTACTTACGACGCTTTACTTGAGAGTTTGGATAGAAAATAACATATTCAGATAGTAGCTTCGATCATTTTAGACAGACAGCGAAAATATTATTTGCTCAGTTATAGTAAAACTTATTTAAATTATGATCATGTGAACAGCCTTGCATTGTTTTGTGTTTAACTTTTATTTTTCTAACCTACATTCAAATGATTCAATCTAAGGGAGAATTATCGGAAGTGGCGCTGGTGTCTACTGCTTAATCCGATAACGACAACGCGAAATTGTTACAAATAACGACTGCAGCGTGTTGCTTGCATCATTCGTCTAAAAATTTCCACTGTGCATAAATAATTTCTACCACAAACAGTAAAAAAGACTTCGATAAATTATTCGTTTTTCTCATGATCATACATCTTCTTAAATTTTGTTTGAACAGCTTTTCAGCGGTTTAGAGAGTTTGGCGGTTTAAATGATGAATTTATCATGCGATTTTTTTACTTTTTTTGTGTTTTGACTGTATTATCCGCATTATTGAGAGATTTTATCAATCGTTATAGGGTATGCACAATGAATAAATGATGAACAGTATTTAGTTCGAGATTATTGATTTTTTATCTCAATGACAATGGCTAGCAAACACAGGTCTAAGGAGCTGCATTGAGCCCTCTGCTCACCAGCAGAGTGGACACAATTTTACTATCATTGCCTGAGGCGTTGCGATGCACTCACAGATGAACGAAGGGATGTGCGTATGACAACTTGGGTTACAGTAATTTCTTGCATCCTTTCAAAAGGTGTAATAAAGACCGTAACATTATTTTCATTAACAAAAATATACTTATGCTGTCATCATATGAAAATTTATCATTGAGAAAATTAAGGTCAAAATTTCCTTGATAAATCAATGCTTATTCTTATTTCACAGCTTTATATTTTATTTTCTACTCAACATTACACAAGGAATATATTACACAATGCGACAGTTATATACTATACAGAATCAATTAAGGTTGATAAATAACGTTGCTAAGATTTTATTTATTAAAATAAAAAGTTGATATATATATAAATATACATAAATGATATTACACCATTCAAAGCTCTAATAGAAAATAATAAGCCTTGCCTGAACGCGATGTCTACCTGAGCATTTCAGCTTGCACCAGTTGACCACGAAATTAAAGGCAATACCTGGACGGTTTGGGGTAAGAATTTAGAAGGAGATGCGAACTTGGAGGTACATGATTAACGATGGTTTACAGCTTATAGTAATAAAAGCAGCTGCATAGCTAGATGTAATATTACGGAAAATTGGAATTTAAATTGGTTAAATAAACAGAGATATCAATTTAATTTATTAACGATGTATTTTTGGAGGTAGGTCACAGATATTCGGAAATGAGCAAATCGTGATGTGCATCAACTATGGCGAATAGTACTTCAGTATACTTCTTGTTTTTATTATTTTACCAGTTCACAACGATGGAAAAACTCATAACGCTCAAATTTTAATTGTTTAATATATGCACGATAAAGTTAGTTACACTGACAATACCAAAACATTTACAACAAAAACATTACTATATATGCTAATTATTCAATCGTCTCGTGCGCCGTTTCATCGTGAGATTTTGCATGCATTATTTCATTAAAGTTTTAATTGTCAGAGAGAAATTTCTGGATATCATCTCATACTCCATAACCAATTAAAAGCTTACTGTCATTTGTCCTTAGCAATCAGTTTCCACTGATTACAGTTTACCTTCATAACCATAAGCAACATGACATATGGGCCCAACCTCGCCAAGGTCAAGCTAATGATATAAAAGTTTGGGTTAAAAAGTCCATCATTGTAAATGGGGCATAGAATCGCTAGCAAAAATGAACGCCGAAGATATGAATGGTTAAAAGATACTGAATACTTGTCAAATGTCGAGTCTAAGAAGCCGGGCGCAATACCTAGCATATGATAGTTGTTCAGACGCGTATTCGGGATAAGTCGCATAGTCGCATTATTATTATTATTATTATTATTATTATTATTATTATTATTATTATTATTATTATTATTATTATTATTATTATAATGATTGTAAGATTGGGTTCGATTAAAAATTGAAATATAATATTAAAATTAAAGAAAATAAATAATATTATAAACGACAACTTTAGTTTTTTCCATATTTGAAACGACAGACGATTGGGAGTTCTGTGTTAAATGTGTGTTTGAAGAGATCTGTATTGTATAGGAATATATTCGCTTTATTTAATATTATTAACAAGATTAGAGGTTACGGGCATAACGGGAGTTGACATGATTATAAATTCAGTACACTATGTGACATTACATTTACAGTACAAAGTGTCAATACACTGACCTCAAATCTGACAATTAACTGCTAGTTAATGTTGTTAAAAGCTTTGGATGTTAAATATTGTCAAAAGCTTTGGAATACTTATGGTTACGCAGCTGAGATATATCTAATAGATCACAGTTTAATGTCATATAAGCTCCTTAATTTCACAATAACTATAGAGTGATACAAAAACTGTTTCAACATTAATTTGAATGAAACATCTTCAGTTTTATTTAGATTTTAGTGGCAAGAAGAAGTGGCATCAACATGGTGAAATTTGCCCCTAGTTTGGGGTAAGTTTCTCAATCATGAACAATCAACGCACTTCGTAAGTCTCCTCACTCAGGTGCGTTTAGTGTGCCGGACGTACAGGTCCTGGAAGGTGGGCAGTGTGGTGTGCATTAGTTTGTGACATTCATGAAACAAATTGAGATGTATCAAGTGACTTCGTGCTATTGTTTGCTGTTTAAACTTATCAAAGTTGCGCAAAATTCCTTATAAACGGATATTCTAATTTGATTTTACGTACCATAGCCATGTCAAGCTCCTGGAATTCTTTGTTGCGGTATAGATAGTCGGAGGTTCGCTGGTGCAGCGGTCGTTGCAATCGCTAGCACGGTGTATTGCAGCTCTGAAACCTGACGCCTCACGCCTGCACTGCATGCTCCATGCTTTTAAAGATATATTGACATTGTTATTCACTATCTTACTATGCAATTCCGTTTTTTATTTTCTGAACTATATTAAATGCATTCGGTTGGATTCCGCAATATAATTAATAATTTTTCCTCCAGGACCTCCACTCAAAACTGGCCAGACGGACTGGCCCTTGAAAGTTGACGTTACCCGAGCTTTTCGATTGACGATTGTATTAAATTGTAGGGTAGTTCGGTGGCTGATGTGCGTGTTTAAGAATTAAGAGGTCTGCACCATATAATGCTTTAAAACGTTGAGCTAATGCATTCTCGTTTTCTATTTATTTTATTTTAATATAATTCTGTAACGCTGCGTTAGACAGAAAAAAGTACAGATAGAGAAAAGCTGGTATATATCATATGTAGGCTGTAGCTATATGTTTCTGGAAGTACTATAATCTTTTGATGATTCATGAACAACGCACGGAGTAAAATGTTATGGCCTTAAGCATGTATTCAAGTGAAAACAAGGGCATTCTTCAATTTAAGTTCACTCATCCTAGGAGTGAACGTTTGTTGAATGGAATGTCAGAAATTTCAACCTCGCATACTTTTTGCCACAAATATTCGTTCGCAGCGCATACTTGCCACATTCATTAACGGGGTCTAGTTAGACTAGTATCACTGCCTCGCCGGCTACCAACATGTATTGTAAGATATTTAATGCATACAATCATAATACGAGACACTGAGACAGAAATATTTGTTTGCACATGAATTACAGTATTGCTTCAAAATTTAGCTCCGTCGAACGAATATTATGGCAATTCTCTTGATCAAGGAATTTACAATCCGTATACGTAACTCATCCAGTTAAGAGGCTACGCGAACGAATGAATATTCATCCAATCATTGACCATTCGATGACATTGCCTATTCCGATGTATGATTGAGCTCACGAGGGATCACATATGAACAAGTGCACATATCAAATAGGATCTGAAGTTCTGAAGCTATTTTTTTATATTCAACTGATTATTTTGATCTCATCATGTTTCTAGGCTGGATTCCGCTGGAATATAATTGAACTAACTAACATCTTGAATAAATGAAATAACGTAGGCCTAAGTGGAATTCTATCCATGGCAGCTCGGGCCAAGCAGTCGGTGCGACAAGTGTGCAGGCTGTGTGCATTTTTTTTCGCCTTCATCGTGCACAATGAGAACGGCATTCCACTTTTGATGGAATGATCCCAACCCGAGTTCAGAGCACAAGTGTTCTAGACTCATGAACGTTCAGCGGGTCCGAGTTAGGTTCTGCGTCATTCATTCTCATTTGTGGCGTTTGAAATGCGTTTTACTTGGTCTAGTGCGGTCACAATTTAATTCGCTATTTTTACCACTCATGAATGATTTGTTTGATTTATTCGAAGTAAGTTTTGTAATCCAATCTGAACTGAACTAGATTGGTATGGACAAGTATACATATGCACAGCCGTCATCTTTTGATCACAAAGTGTTCGATTATGGTTGTGGAAATTTCCTCACAAAATTCTGCCAAAAGCAGTTTAAGGATTCAAGCGTTTTGCCTTGGATATGTAATCTAAATGAAAATCTTGGTTATTTTAATTGTTTTTAAATTATCCCATCCAGTTAGCAACGGAGAAATACATTAATGTAAGTTGTACTGTATGAGTAACGATTAATTCATTTAGGAATATGGGTAGCTGGCTGTTTCTTCATTGGTAACTGAATGAAAAATTTGAATAGGTTAAATATAGCTATAGTGAAAGGTAGATCGGAACAAGTTAAGACTTAATGAACTTGCGTCTGCCTTGTATAAATTAATAATTTAATTCATGGTCTTGAAGCTTTTAATCATGTCGGAGCTTTCTATAATAAAAATGTCTCTGTTGACCAAGGCACTTTTTTGCCTCACCATTTACAAACAAAGAATCCGCTACGTGCATATATTCTTTAAGAAACTAGGAAATATCGCGAGTTCATGATCATCTTGTCTTCTCGTCTCATTTTTACGTCAACCTGATAATCCTGTTTGTGCTGGAAATATGAGCTCAACGTGTGCTCTAGATCTCATCAACTGCTGCCTGACGCCTGTAAACATGTCTCGTGCCAAGGTGACCTAACTTGCCACTTAGTGCCTCGACATCCATCTAGTCGATCCGTCATTTAACTTTGTGTTAAATGAATCTTATATTAGATGAGATGTTAATCAGGTGTTAGTTAATGTGATCATTGGATGTTTGACCTGGAAAAAATTAAGTTCTAAATGGAAAATGCGTGCTCATTCGGGAAATCGACTGTCTGGGAACACGACCTAATTCGGAGTCTATATGAAATTTAGAACACATCTTGATTCGACAGTCGATGTAACTTTGGAATTTGATGGGATCCTTGCAATTTTGTGAACTACTCCTCTCTGTTTTACTCGTCCTCCGCTAGTTTGTGTTTGTCTGCTGCGTTATTATAGTTGGCGTATGAGCGCTTCCAGACTTGTCTGTTTTTTTTTTTTGCATATTTTACTCGATCCTCGTGCATATATTCATGCGCGAGTTCATGATCATCTTGTTTTCTCGCCTCATTTTTACGTCAATCTGATAATCCTGTAGTCCTGTCAACCTGAAGAAATAGGCCATGGGCCTATTTCTTCAACGCCGACACTTCTATTCTTCTCTCCGCTTTATGTCAATCTATCAGAGAGAAGATCCGTCCTAAGAAGGTGAAAGTGTATAACGGACTAATTTTTTTTCGAAAATATACAATTTTCGGATCGAAAAAATTCAATTTCCTAAAAAGAGGAAGTCGACCGTTATAGAATTTATGCTCCTCCTGGAAGGGCGGATTAAGGGTGTTTATTTGGGTACAACCGAATTGTTTTGCTACTGAGGCCGATTACATCTGTTTTACAATAACGTTTTCCCGGGCAATAATTCATTATAAACATTGACCAGTATTTTTGTGTTCATACTTCAACATCGACCTTGAAATTCAATTCAAAGCTCGTATTTGTATATGCATGTACAAGTTGATGATATAGAAGAATATTTCATTAACGTTAAAATTTACGTATTAACTATAAACTATAGGGATTTGTTTCCCATTTACTACCTCCATTCAGAGAAAAAGTCGTGGATGCATGTTTTAGTAACTGCTAATTCACGGAGGAACTGTGACACAGCAACCAAGCAACTGTTATTGAACCTCTAATTCGATGTTGCTGAGAACGCAAACAAAGAAGTTAGGTGGGCGGTTTTGAAGCCCGCGGGTACATTCTGGTGAGACTATCGCATCGCCCGTCACGATATGGTCGCGCATTCCTCGCTCTCGCCTTTTGAATCAGGAAGTTGAAGCCGAGTCAACGTATGACCTCCACGCCATTTCTGCCCCGGCAATGGTTCCTCTTCTTGTGGCCATGAACACGAGTGTTTTTTCTTGTCTTGTTCAAAAGCAGCCGCGCAACAAACACAATATTCATTTTATTGGTGATTAATGTAAAATTAGCTTTGACCTCTGAGTAATCGCTGATTAATTTTCAGTTATCGTACTTGTTCCAAACCATCCTTTTAAAAGCCCTGATCCTATATATGCGGTTCAGCTTCAAAATAATTTGCCTTATTTTAAATCTTCTGGATCGCTTTTTCGTTTTGTCAAAAACGGCTATTTTCTTCTCTTTTGTTCGGGATCATGAGAGGCTCGAATCAAGATATTATGGTGGTAATTTATAATTTAGTACATAATTTTTAGTATATAATTTATATACTACGATCTAAGATTGATAGAGTTCATTAATTGAATATCATAACTCCTTTGCAGTCGCTCGTGCTGATTCATATCCGCTTTTTAATTGCGTTCGTTGAATCCAGTTCATTTTAGAACTATCCTTGGAATCGTTGAACGTCTGCTGCTCGGACAAAAAAACAAATACCTACTCAAGAATTGTAACCCAGCGTGCGTGGTGTTGTTGATGAGTACATTGCATAAATTGTCATTTAACGTAATTATTTCTTCAAAAATTTGAACCGTATGCATGAAATATAAGAGTTTGAAAGTGCTTGTGTTAAGAGCAAGGCATGATGATGGCCGTGAAAATGCGTGCTCCCATCCTCTGCCTAAATTATTTAAAACAAGTACCGTTTTAAATAATTCAGTTTTCAACCTAGCTTAAAAAACTTATGTTTAATCCGACCTCCAGACTGTAATTTCTTCCGTAGCAGTAGTTGGTGTGTTGAGTACGAGATGAGTCAGGAACCTGTTTGTGAAGCGGACCTCACTACAGAATTAGACATTAAATCTCGTCCGATTCTATTATTTGCCTGCTAATTAGAAGATACTAGACGCTTTTTGTTCTTAAATTAAAAAAATGTACAAGTCTTGAAAACTGTTTAACCATGTAATTTTACTCATTTCGAACTTGTTTAGGGGTTTATATTCTTCGAACATTTTCTACGCTGACGGACTGACCATGAGCACCAGCTGTGTAGTTGGATTGTGTTCTGCATATTTAGCTACTCACATTCATCCAATAAATGTATTTATTACCATTGAATCAAGGCGTTGTGAATTGAAGAGAACATTGCCAACTAGTATACATTATATTTTTAAATGCATAGACATGTCGCGTTTTTTTAGATAAAAATTTTACCGGTTTTCCCGTCGTATTTTTATCAATACTCGCCACAAGTGCTGCAAATAAATGATAAATTACAGAAGCCCGAGCTGTTGCCACC